TGAGCCTGTGCTTGGTGCCGGGGGAAACAGTTCCTGGAACAGGCAGTCTGTGACCTCTGACAAAGACCTTGCTTTGTATAATTTTAATTTGACAAAATTAATTTGAAAATATTAAAAATAGTCACAAACCAAATACTGAAAAATAAGAAGACTTTTATATCTTATTTCTTATAGTAAGTCCTTCGCTTAAAATTACACAACGAAATGGCCGTGTGGTCTAGTAGTATGATACTCGCTTTGGGCTTCTGACCTGAATATGCGAGTGGTCCAGGGTTCAATTCCCTGCTCGGCCCATTTCTTTTTACTCAAAAAATAATCAAATATTTTCAAAACATTTTTATTATAGATAGAAAATCTGTTTATTGTCCTTACATCACATAGTTACATAATAAGAATAATTATAACAAAGATATACAAAGAAGACATGGAATTCAAAAATTCCCCCCTTTTTCTTTTCTTCAAAGCCATCATTTAAATGCCAGATAAACATGAAGTTAATAATTAGATGTCACGTGTTAATAATTAGATGTCACGTGATAATAATTATTACGGAATTATTTGGCTTAGATCTCAGTGAAAAATACGGTTTAGAGTAATACTAAGCTTATTTTGCTGACCGAACTATGTTAGTATGGCTCAGCCTCAGAATCCAAGAAAGGAGCTTGACTTACAGAAAAAAGGGATAGAGAACCTTAGACTTGAAGGCTCTGTCTTAATGCTGGATCTAAACTTCTACAAGTATTCCTACTGCTACTTCGCTGTGCGGGTAACTCTGATAATGTTCCGCTAGAATAGCACTCTGTGGAAGCGTACAAGTACGATGACTGACAACATCCATCCACTTACTACGTATGTTACAGGAAGAGTTGTTTCCTTGCGCAGACATGCGACTTACTAGACTCCTTGCTGTCAGGCCTGTGATATAATCCCTCCCTAAGTGGCTCCGCAAGCAATGGGCGCTCATGCTGAGTCTCTCAACTATCCGCAGGCTGTTGCTGTAATGTTGTCGCTTAGCGATATTTTACTGAATGTGTGTTGTCTCTGATACATCTCCTTCAGAGTTTTTTGTTGTAGGTTGTTGTGGTGGCATTTCTCGGTTTACTTTCAGAGGGAAGTGGTAAAAGGGTTAAAGTTGTCAGGAGGAGTGAAAAGGTTTTCACTTTTTCATTTTCACTTCCTTTTCTTCCAGCTCCGCTACTAGTCAGGCTTATTGTTGAAAGTTACTGTATCATCATCGCTGAGTAATCAAAATGTGCCCATGAAAATACATTCCTACCTTATGTAAAATTTTCACGTATTCTTATTCTTTAACGCACATGTCTATAAGATAATATACATTACTTTTTTGACCTATTTTCTACAGTTAACATATTTATTTACACAAAAAATACAGTCTCATTCTTTAACCTGATTGTCTCATTAGGAAGGCGCCGCGTTTCTAGATTCGGAATAGGCATGGAAGACCTGACTAGGGTAAGGTCTACCGTGACATGAGATAAAAAAAAAAAAATCTGTTAATTGTTCTCACATGGCTACATAATTGAAATAATAACAAAGATATGCAAAGAAGACGTCGAATTTAAAATAAAAAACACTATCTTTACCACACTTTTTATATGACTTGCTACTTCTTTGATTAGAGCAGAGTATTAAGAGTTTTACTGTGTGTTGATAGGTAATATCAGCTTACTCAGTGTACCCCAGATTTTTTAATGAAATAGATCACTTTATAAATAATTCGGCGTTATTTAATTAAAAAAAAAAAAAGTTGTGCAGATAGCGCTATTTTTCTTGTCTGAATGTTTATTATTATTTTATCATAAAATTTTTCAATTTTATCTTTTTGCACATTTTTCATAAATAGTGAAATTATTGTATCACAAGGTAATCTGGTGATTGAAAATCAGATAATTACACAAGTTGATAACAAAAACATTTAAAGAATACCGTAGGCATTAATTAATTTGTTTACTTAAATGTGTTTTTTTTAAAGTTATAGCCAGCCTTCATCATTTCATAAATATAATTTATTGAATTTACGAATTAATCCAGATTTATTAATACAGTAGTTTATAAATAAAGGGTGTTAGCTTTTTGATATTTCTAAAGTATGAAATCACCACGCAGTATAAATTATGTAAATTTAGCTTGGCTATAAAAAAAAAAAAATTGGTTGTAATATATCAAATATAATGAAACAAATAAAAAAGACAATCACTAGTAAAGAATATGCATTTGCTCAATAAAGTAGAGAATGTTTGGTACTGGTATTCAGTGATAATCATCAACTACAAAAGATTTAAGGTCACAACAATCTGTGAATAGAGTGCGTGAAATAAATTGAAAAAAAAAAAACTTTGTTTCAAAGACCGGCCTTCGGACTGCAGTTGACATTCTATCTTTTTCACCGACGCGGTCTCATATTTTTCCAGGTATACAAAATTGTAAGTTTTCAGAGATTTTTCCAATTATCAATAGTTTTATATGCATGTGAATGTATGATCAGGAGTCCTACAAGACTCTATTACTTGCAACCAATATTATTTGATCATCTTAAATTTGTGTTTTGTCTTTATATCCAATCAGATTATATTTTCAATTTAATTAATTAGTTTCTTGCTAGACTACTATTAGTTCAAGTATCGATAAAGTGCGGGTATGGCGGAACGTAATTGACAGCCAGGGGTACTTATGGAACTTGGGAAAGTTTTCTAAAGCTTTAAAAAAGGCCTAAATAATAGGTGTCTGCCCCCCCCCTCTGAGTAAATTTCATCTTTGTCAAACTTTATCGCAAATACATAAGATCCGACGAGATACAGGCAGTAGTAAGATTACTGTAAAATATATATAAAAGAACAAAACGATAATGTCATAGGATTCGGTGAAGTTTTCCCGGTATTCTTGATAAACACAAACCAGTACGTATACAGTATGCTTTTGTGCTTACAATGTTGTTTAAATCATGAACGAAACCGGTGATATCATAAGTAAGCCGCAACTGTTTAAACAACTTTTACTGTTTTAGACTACTTCAAATTATTATGTTGATAGTGTCGGCATGATTAATAGCGAGAATAACCAAGGTAAGTTTCTGAGCTGGATATAATTTTTCAGGGAACCCGACTACTATCAATAATAGAGAGAGTTTATAATCGTGATAACTTTAATATCTGCTAATGATAATAATAATAATAATATTATTATTATTGTTTTTTGGTTATTTACGTTGATTCTAGATTTCTCCTCCTTTTTCCGTCATATCCTTTTCTGTAGTACTTTTACCAACCCTTTTGATTATTAGAATAATGGAAACAAACAAAAACATGAAAACGTTCCTTGATCCCGCAAACGGTTTTGAAAACAATGCCAGCAATTAGCAAAAACGTTTTTAAAGGCCGTTTGCGTCCGGAAAAAAAAACCTCGAGACCTCGTTCGTTGCTTCCAGCCGATGGGGTTAGCTGTTACTATTTTTTTTTTTCAAGATTTTGATCTGGAGATGTCTCGGTAATATGTCTCAAAAAACAATAGTAAAATAGTACATTACTAGCGGAATCCATTGCACATTTCAAAAAAGTCACATGTTTCCCCACTTTTCCCCGGACTTGAGCCGAGCAAATCAAAACAGATTGGGCCTGAGCCACCGACACATTGTTTGACCGACACCGATCGATCTTTAAATATCAGCCCAATTCCATCTTTACCTTTCTCCTGCTCCTCTTTTTTTTTTTTCCCTTACCGAACCCATCCCATTCACAATCCTACTATCACATCTCCAACAATGTCTTTCATCACTAGATCTACTCTGAAGGCCTTCGGCAAGGTCTCCGTCGCTAGACAGTTTTCTACCTCTGTTGCTAGAATGCAGTTCGCTCCCGGTCCTTTGCTCCACTTTACCGAGGATGAGGAGATGTTCCGCGACACTGTTGCCAAGTTTGCCCAGGAGGTTGTTGGCCCCAAGGTCCGTGAGATGGATGAGAACGAAAACATGGACCCCAGCATTGTTCAGGGTATGTTCGACAACGGTCTCATGGGTATTGAGACTGCTGACCACTACGGTGGTGCTGGCGCTTCCTTCACCTCCGCCATTCTTGTTGTTGAGGAACTTGCCAAGGTCGATCCTTCCGTTTCCGTCATGAATGATGTCCACAACACTCTCGCTTCTACTTGTATCAGAAAGTGGGGTTCCAAGGAGGTCCAGGACAAGTTTGCTGAGCGTCTCGCCACCAAGGAGGTCGGTGCCTTTGCTCTTTCCGAATCTGGCTCTGGTTCTGATGCTTTTGCCATGAAGACCACTGCTAAGAAGAACGCTGATGGTGACTACGTCATCAACGGTTCCAAGATGTGGATTACCAACTCTCAGGAGGCCAGCATTTTCCTTGTCTTTGCCAACATTGATCCTAGCGCCGGCTACAAGGGTATTACTTGTTTCGTTGTTACCAAGGATACTCCTGGCTTTTCTATTGCCAAGAAGGAGAAGAAGCTTGGTATCCGTGCTTCTTCCACCTGTGTTCTCAACTTTGATGACGTTGTTGTCAAGAAGGAGGACGTTCTCGGTGAGATCGGTAAGGGTTACAAGATTGCCATTGAGTGCTTGAACGAGGGTAGAATTGGTATTGCCGCTCAGATGTCTGGTCTTGCTATGGGTGCCTTTGAGAAGGCTACTGGTTACTGCTTCAATGACCGTAAGCAGTTCGGTCAGTACATTGGTGACTTCCAGGGTATGCAATTCCAGTTTGCCCAGGCCGCTGTTGAGATTGAGGCTGCCAGACTTTTGATTTACAACGCTGCTAGATTGAAGGAGAAGGGTGTTTCCTTCACTAAGGAGGCTGCTTACGCTAAGCTTTACGCTTCCCAGGTTGCCGGTAACGTCGCCTCCAAGGCCGTTGAGTGGGTTGGTGGTGTCGGTTTCACCAGAGAGGAGACTCTTGAGAAGTTTTACCGTGACTCCAAGATTGGTGCTATCTACGAAGGTACCTCTAACATCCAACTCCAGACTATTGCCAAGTTCCTCCAGAAGGAATCTCGTCAATAAATAACGACTTTACGAAAGAAATAAAAAAAATTACATAAAGCAGCCATCAATGTATTTAGTGCTTAATAAATGAATTTAAATGATACTTTTCTAATTGAATTGGTGGTGTGAAAAATAAAAAATCTTTGTGTACACATTGCCGAGAAGAAAAACTATTTAATCACCGTCGGCATCTCGGCAGTTCAAAAAATATATATTCCAAGTCTTAGTACTCATAAAATAAATTTAAAAATTGTTTTCCACAAAAAAATTTTTAACAGC